ACTGAGAAATTGGGGAGATTCCCATTCACCATAGTGTCTCAAAACAAAGCAACCGTAGGAGTAAAGCTGACTAAGGTGGTGAAAGTCCTCAACAGTGAAACTCCAGAAGGAAATTGAAGAGGACACTGGAAGGTGGAAATACCTCCCGTCCTCACGGCTGGGCAGTACTGTGAAGATGGCTGTATCAATAAAAACAGTGTACGGAATTAGTACAGTCCTTACCACAATCTCAGTGAACTTCACAGAACTGGAGGAAGCAGTCCTGAAGTGCACAGGGAAGCACAGAGGACCCAGAACTAACTGAAGTCATCCTCGGAGCAAAGAGTTGTGCTGGAGGTGTCGCGCCGAGCTCGGGTTGTATTACAGAGCTGGTGTAACAGTGTATCTCCTGACACAGAGCAGATCTGTGGAGCCGTGGAAGAGGGTTGTATTACAGAGCCGGAGTAACAGTGTATCTCCTGACACAAGAGCAGATCTGTGGAACCGTGGAAGAGAATTGGAGACCCAGAGATAAACTCAGGCACAGAACTGAGAAATATGCATTAGAGAAAAAGATCACCTCTGACAGTTGTTTCCATATGAATGGAGGTCCTTCTCTGACCCCTCACAAAAGCAAATTCGGAATGGATTCGAGGTCTTCATAGAAGACCCGGAGCCTCGGAGCTGCTAGAGGGAACTTAGACAGAACATTCTGTGATAAAGTACACAAGCGTTTCCTGACTCCAGTGGCACAGGAACGATCGTAAGAATTGACAGACTGGGTGATATTAATAACATTCTGTGGGCTGCCCAGATGGTTCCTGGTTGAAGGAACTTGGTGCCAAGCCTGATGACCTGAGTTTGATCCCTGGAACCTGCACCCCACTCAAATAAATACATGTAAAATAGGAAGATTCTACTTAGCAAAGGAAACATCCCTGGGGTGAAGAGAACCTGCAGAATAACCTTTGCCAGCGGCCCATCAGCCAGGGTGCTGGTGTGCACCTTTAGTCCCAGCACTTGAGAGGCAGAGGCAGGCAAATCTCTGCAAATTTGAAACCAATCAGGTCTATGTAGTGAGTTTCAGGACACTCACTAAGCCCCTGTATCAAAGAGAAGAAACCCAAAGTAAAACCCCACACCCAAATAACAAAACAAGAAAACAAGCCAGAACAAAGAGGAGCTTTATTCAGCACAAGAGGGAATGGTAATGTGCGTGGCCACTGTGGAAGTCAGTATGGACGTTCCTCAGCATTCTGAGAGTGGAACTAACACGTGGCACCGCCATCCCACTTGTGAGGAAATGCCATGACCAAAAGTAACCTGGGGAGGAAAGAGTATCTGTGCCATCATTGAAGGAAGTCAGGCAGGATCTTAGAGGCAGGAACTGATGCAGAACCATGGGGAGTGCTGCGTACTGGCTTGTTTAACCTGCTTTCTTCTTCTTTTTTTTAATATTGATTTTATTGAGCTATACATTTTTCTCTGCTCCCCTCCTTGCCTCTCCCCTCACCTTCAACCCTCTCCTATGGTCCCCCTGCTCTCAGTTTACTCAGGAGATCTTGTCTTTTTCTACTTCCCATGTAGATTAGATCCATGTATGTCTCTCTTAGGGTCTTCATTATTGTCTAGGTTCTCTGGGATTGTGAATTGTAGGCTGACTTTGCTTTATGTCTGAAAGCCACTTATGAGTGAGAACACATGATATTTGTCTTTCTGGGTCTATGTTACCTCACTCAATATGATGTTTTCTAGCTGTATCCATTTGCCTACAAATTGCAAGATGTCATTATTTTTTTCTGCCGTATAGTACTCCATTGTGTAAATGTACCACATTTTCCTTATCCATTCTTTGGTCGAGGAGCATTTAGGTTGTTTACAGGTTCTGACTATGACAAATAATGCTGCTTTGAACATAGTTGAGCACATGTCCTTGTGGTATGATTGAGCATCCTTTGGGTATATACCCAAAATTGGTATTGCTGGGTCTTGAGGAAGGTTGTTTCCTAATTTTCTGAGAAATTCCCACACTGATATCCAAAGGGTCTGTACCAGTTTGCCCTTCCACCAGCAATGCAGGAGTGTTCCCTTTACCCCACAACCTCTCCAGCATAAGTTGTCATCAGTGTTTTTTATCTTGGCTGTTCTTACAGGTGTAAGATGGAATCTCAGAATTGTTTGGATTTGCATTTCTCTGATGGCTAAGGATGTTAATTAAGTATTTCCTTAAGTGTCTTTCAGCTATTTTAGATTTCTCTGTTGAGAGTTCTCTGTTTAGGTCTGTACCCCATTTTTTTAATTGGATTATTTGTTCTTTCAATGACCAATTTCTTGAGTTCTTTGTATATTTTGGAGATCATCCCTCTGTCCGATATGGAGTTGGTAAAGATCTTTTCTCATTCTGTAGACTGTTGTTTTGTCTTGTTGACCGTGTCCTTTGCTTTATAGAATCTTCTCAGTTTCAGGAGGTCCCATTTACTAATTGTTTCTCTCAGTGTCTCTGCTGCTGGGGTTATATTTAGGCAGTGGTCTCCTGTGCCAATGTGTTCAAGTGTGCTTTCCACTTTCTCTTCTATGAGGTTCAGTGTGGTTATCTTTATGTTGAGGTCTTTGATCCATTTGGACTTGAATTTTGTGCTTGGTGATAGATACGGATCTATTTTCATTCTTCTACATGTTGATATCCAGTTATGCCAGCACTATTTGTTGAATATGCTTTCTTTTTTCCATTTTATATTTTTTGCTTCTTTGTCAAAAATTAGGTGTTCATAGGTATGTGGATTAATATCCAGGTCCTCGGTTCGGTTTCATTGGTCCTCCTGTCTGTTTTTATGCCAATACCAGACTGTTTTCAGTACTGTAGCTCTGTAGTAGAGTTTGAAGTTAGGGATTGTGAAGAACTCCAGAAGTTCTTTTATTGTACAGGATTGTTTTGTCACCTTGCTTTCTTATAGAACCCAGAACCACCATCCTACTTTGGTACCACTCACTGTGGGCTGGCCCCTCCTCCCACTACTATTTACGAAAATGCTCTACAGACATGGCTGCAGTCTGATATTAAGGGGAGGCATTTTTTTCAGTTGAGGTTTTCCCTTCTCAAATAACTCCAGGTTGGGTTAAATTGACACAAAACTAGTCAACACACCGTTCTTGGTATGAGTTTTGGATCCTGAGTCAAGACACCACATAGATGTTGGGCATTGTATGTATGGATGCACTATTCACAATAGCCAGGAAATGGAACCAACCTAGATATTCATCAGCAGATGAATGGATAAAGAAAATGTTGTCCATATAATCAAAGGGATTTTATTCAGCTATGTAGAAAAAATGTCACTCTTAAATTTGTAGGAAAATGGATGAAACTGAAGCATTATCTTAGTAAAATAAGCCTGTCTCAGACAAATACTGCATATTTCCTCTTCCACCCAAATTGTAAGCACATTTGTTTGTATGTGTGTGTTTATAGCCTACAAAACTAGAAAGTGGATCCTAAGAGAGAAGGAAGAGATTTTAAGGGAGAGCAGTGATTCCAGGCAACAGCAGAGCAAAGCCCATGGCAGCTGCGGGAAGAAAGGGAACGTTGGGAACACACTGAGGGGGTGAGGTGGCAGGGTAGGTGTGGAGGTTTGAGAACCAAGTACCATTTGCACATATGTGTGAAGATGTCATGAAGATGGATGTTGGGAGTTGTGGGGGGCTGGAGGGGATACTAGGGGAGGGTGGATATGCTCTGAGTACACCATATGCTTGCTTGAAATTACAACAAAATAAAATTAAAAAATTCCACTAACCCCTTTCCTCACAGAGTTAGAAAAAGCAATCACAAAGTTGGTAAAGGACTTCAGAAAGTCTCAGATAACCAAAGCTGTCTTAGCAGGAGAGAAGTGATCAGGAGATAGCACACTGCTTGTCTTCAGAACATACTATAAGGCTGGAGGGACTCAGGCACACATAGAAGCCACAGGGCAGAAGAGTGAGTCCAGAATTAAAACCCACACACAGTCTCTTGAGTTTTGACAGAGGTGCCCAGAGCGTATAAACCAGGAAAGACAGTTTTCAGGTGGTGCTGTAGGGAAATCTGACCTTTTCCATGCAGGTAAGCGAGACCCACACCCTCCATCGGAGCTGCTGTCTTCATCATTCTGGTGGAAGAAGCCCTCACCCTGTCCTTTCCTTTCTCTCCTATTCTGCTTCCTTTTTAATGTGATGTGTCTAATACAATTTTATCGGCTTGATTATCCAGTTAAATATAAGCTCACCAAGGGTGGAGACTTTATTTACTTGACATACTAGATAGACTTCAGTAATAACTGATCGAATGAATGATTGACTAAGTGTGTGAAAAAAATGAGGGCTGGAAGATGCCAGGTTCTACCCCTAGTTCTGAGATCTTGGGGAGATTATTTAGTAGCTTTTCTCAGGTTTAGCCTTCTATAAAGCTACAGTGGAGAGAGGACCCGTGTCACTGGGTTGCTGTGAGGATTTCGTTGGCTGGTAATGTAAATGTGAAATGCTGAATGCTAAACATTCTGAGAGTGTGTGAAAGAGAATGAGAGTTAGCTGTTTTAGCTTTTCCTTGCTTTTGGCATCTTACACAGTGTAGTCAGACATTTTTGTCAAGACTGTAGGCTCCCCAAGAATGACATGGAAACTTATTAATTATGAAAGCTCGGCATAGCTTAGGCTTGTTTCTAACTAGCTGTTATAACTTAAATTAACCCTTTTCTATTAATTTACTTTCTGCCTCGTGGCTTTATCATCTCATCGCTGTAGTGTCTATTCTGATTGCTCTGAATCCCTTGGTGTCTCTGCCTTCTTCTTCCCAGTATCCTCTGTGCCTGAAAATCCTGCCTAGCTATTGACCATTCCGCTTTTTATTAAACCAGTCAGAGCGACAGATCTGCACGGTGTAAAAAAAAATATTCCTCAGCAACACAGAGTGTTGATTGTATGTTTACAAGGATATGTATTGACATTTTAAAGGACTGTGTAAATGAGATTTTTTTTTTCTTTTCTAGGGGATGCAGAGAGCAACTAACGTCACTTATCAAGCTCACCATGTCAGCAGGAACAAGAGAGGGCAGGTGGTGGGGACCAGAGGTGGCTTTCGCGGTTGCACAGTCTGGCTGACAGGTATGGTCAAGAGAGAAATGGGTGGGTGCGGTGATGCATGCCTGGAATCCCAGGTCTTGGGAAGCTCATCATCAGCCTGGACTGTGTAACAAGGCTGTGTCAACATGACGGTGGCGTGACCTCTGAGGGTGACTTGCAGCAGAACAGGGGTGTGGGCACATAGGTGCCAAGGGGGCACCTAATGGCAGGAACAGTGAGGTAGGGTGCCAGTATAAGCCGTGTCCTTCCGTGGGAATACTGGCAGTATTCCCATGAGGTGCAGGGGATGCACTGCTTGGTTTTCCTAGGAAATTGAAGTCCAATGCCATCAAGATTTCTTCTGGCTTCTTCCTGAAACATTGTGTTAACAGTGTTGTCGGTGGAGAGAGCCGTCCCGTCCCAAGTCCATAGACCACTGTGTAGAAACCAATGGGCAGAAGCCGGCAGAGGCTGTTCATCCACATACCAGGGTGTCACATGGCTCTCCCCGTGTACAGATGCTGCAGAACCATCAGAAACAAAATTTAAAAGAGATCCCTTTCTGCAGTTTACTGGCTCCTCTAGGAGACGCCCCTAATGGGAAACACTTCAGCTTACCTTTTCTAGAGACATTTAATAGACCACGTTGTACCTTGATACTGTTTCTTAGAAAATGTTGTTACATTTTCAGCTAACCTTTTCTAGAGACATTTAATAGACCAGGTTGTACTTTGATACTGTTTCTTAGAAAATGTTGTTACATTTTCAGCTTACTTTTTCTAGAGATATTTAATTGACCAGATTGTACTTTGATATTGTTTCTTTGAAAGTGTTTTTAAATTGTCTGGTATATTAGTTCCTAGAGCTGTTGTAGCAAATCAGCTGAACCATTGACTTAAAGCCACAGCAGCAACTCTGGCTTGGCACTCTCGGCATGCCTGCAGGCCAGCTACATCCTGCAGCACGGTGATGGGATGGTGGCGGTTGGTGGGAGACATCTGTCCACTCCATTTTTTTTTTTTTAAAGCATCTGGGGCTTTTAGAAATAACTGTCATTCTGTGGTTTATAGACAACATCGCTTCAGTCTCTCCTTACAAGGACATGAGGTACTGGGTTTGGGGCCCAGTCTAACCAGCAAAGACTGTATTTAGTTAAGATCACAGTCTGAGGTCCTAGTGGACCAGAGTATTTGATGGGGGATGGGTGCTGTCCAACTCAGAACAGACATTTTGTTTTCTTTAGCTTTGTTGAAGCTGATATGTCTTATGTATATTGATTTTTCTGCCTCTTTGTTTCAGCCTCTCAGTTTTCAGCAATGTTTATTCTTTATGCCTATATGTATTTGTAGAGTATAGATGTTTGTCCATGGGGATGTAAGCAGACTGGTTACAACTTTTTGTTCCCTCTCCTGTACACAAAACGTAGCCTTTCAGCTTTCACTTCTTTTTTTCTTGCTGGCACTTGGTGCTCAACTAGTGTTTAAAACCAGTAACAAAGCTGAGTATAATCGCCATTTTTAGTCCCCACACCCGGGATGCTGAGGCAAGAGGCTTGCTCAACATTTAGTATTGGTTTGGGCTATGAGTTCAAGGCCATCCTGGGATACCTAGTGAAACTCTGTCTCAAAACAAAATCTACAACAACAAACAAGCAAATAACAGCAACAATAACAACAAAACAAATGGAAAAGTGGTAGAGCCCTCATGTCTTGGCTCCGGCTCTGTTGTTGCAGCACAATTACCCAGAGCCTCACCCAGTGAAACAACAACTCTGATTACTTAGCACCGCAGAAGCAGAATTCAAGGGACTCCGTGGGCTATCTTTGCCTGGATCTCATGTGGTTGTAGTCAGAGTCCTTTGGGCTGCTAAACTGGTGTCCTTGTCATCTTGGAGCTCAGCTGATTGACGCCCTTGACTAGAACAAGTGAATGATTCCTGTAGCTGAGTGGTCTCGGTGTTCTCCAACGTTAAGTGGACACTGAGAAGCTAGAGATGCATTTCTGGTCTAGCCTTGGAAGGCTGCACTCCCAGTAGATATAAATTAAATATAGTGCCACTCACTATATTTTTTTGGCTTCCAGTGTCCCTCAGCCAGCCCAGACTCAAGAGGGTGGCATTAGGTACTTTGTGTTGAGGGGACAGTGGCAGGTCACACTGTAAGGAATTTGTAGGGGCAAGCTATTGTGTTAACTTCTTTGGGGAAACAGCCTACTAATGAATTAAAACAGCTGGCTCTCTGCTGATCCTCTCAGCACGTGATCTTTTTAGTTAGCTTTCTGGACTGCCATGATTTTGTTCTAGATCACTGGCATACTAGACTTCCATGTTCATCTCTTGCCTTACTGTTCTCTTGACTTTGGGGTCTTCAGGTTGGTAAAGTGTTAGTATATAAATGTTTCCTTTCTTTCTCCTGATCGTTTAGTGAATATACGTGATGGAGAGGAGAGTGAGTGGAAGCTAGGGTTTTCTTCTCAGGTTAATTATATAGTGAACTGACTCCAGATAGTTCTGTCACGGTCCGTGAGCGGCATGACCCTGGAGTAAGGAGGTAGCTTTATAGTTCCACATTGACTTTTCTCCTTTCCCTTTTTTCCCCTTATTATATATAATTTGGCATTTGACTATAAAAATGTGGCATGTATCTTTCAATAGTGTTAACAGTGATGAAGTGGATACACCTACCCAACCATGACACTAAAATTGATAATTTTTGAATCTTATTGGTGATTTCTGGGTTATTTAAGTTACCGAAGATACATGCTTAAGAGGAACACCCCATATACCCCCCAAACATAAAGAAACCCTAGATGTTTATAGATATTTTGAGCAGATAAGGGGTTAATGTTAAAGAGGTAATGGGCAGGGGTGATTCTCCGACCCTGGTGCTGTAACGGATATCATTAATCTTGCCCTTAGACTCTTGGTTCTAACTTCTCAGGTGGAATTTGTTTGGACTGTTCCCTCTAGGACTGTCTGGGGCGGGCAAGACGACGGTGAGCATGGCTCTGGAGGAGTACCTGGTTTGCCATGGCATTCCATGCTACACTCTGGATGGTGACAACATTCGCCAAGGTCTCAATAAGAACCTTGGCTTCAGTCCCGAGGACAGAGAAGAGAACGTCCGGCGCATCGCGGAGGTGGCGAAGCTGTTTGCAGACGCGGGCTTAGTGTGCATCACCAGCTTTATATCCCCGTACACACAGGTGTGTGGCTGCTCCGCCATCAGGTGCCGATGACGCAGTTGAAATGTGGTGTCAGGCAAAACACATATTAAACATTGGCCTGTGTTTTGAGGCTAAATCCAACTTTACTATTTCTCTGAAATCCAAGTGACTTAAAAAAAAATTGTGTGCTGTGGTCCAGTGTGTGTCAAACCTGCTATTAAAGCATCTTGAAGTGAAACAAAGTTGTTGAGGTGAAGCCATTGGCTGACTGTGTAAGCTTAACACACATGCACCGACACACACACATATACGTGCACACGTGGACACGGACACACACACACA